AGTTTCAACTAGTGTGACAAAGAAACACAAACCAGTCAATTAGTGTGACAAAGATTAATCGAGAGTATCAACTTCCTCAAGCTTATTAGTATTTTGAGAATGTGAGGAATTTTCAAGTGGCTTTAGAATAGTTGAGGCTTCCAGGATTTGAAGCTTCTGATCTTGAAAAATATTCGAGATCGACAAAGACCAAGTATGCTTTTTTCTCTCTAATGCCTGTGACATGAAACTATTACTTTTAACATCTTTTGTTCCTCAGCCCTTTCCATGTCTTTTTTTTTCCAAGATTTGAACAGTGCTCTGGTTATGAATTTACAAGTTACTGATTTTATATTTCTCTTCTGTTCTTTACCTTTCTGGTTTCCGTTGCTCAATCTTAGACAGCTCTCTTTACTCCACGACTGTTTAGAGTTTTTTTTATACCTAAGTTTATGCCAACAAATTGTTGAATATATCTTGCTCAGTCCAGCAGAAGTCTCCTAAACAAAACAAACTACAACCGTAAAGTGTTTACTGATAACACAAGAGAAGGAGTTTGCGGTACGTTTGCATTTAATTTTTCTTAATGAAGTTCTACTACTCTTTGGAACAAATACTTATGCGTGACTCTCGTTTGTATCAACATCTTTCGACTTTCATTTCTTATTTCTATGTCATGTTCTTTCTTACCCAAGGCAGTAGGTTTGTTTTATAATTTGATCAGAAGTCTTATACATTACTTAAGCTTTTTAAAAAGAAGTCATATGCATTACTCTGTGTTATAATCCAAGGGTGCTTCTCTTTGGTTCAGGTACTCCGTAATCCAGGATGTGTTGTCTCTCAATTTTTAAAAGGAGAAGCATGCTCAAAAGCCACCACTTGCATTTCAAAATTCAATGTTTTCCCTTACTCTATCGTTTTATATTTCACTTCTATGCTCTGTCGAATCATATATTCTTATACCGAAACTATTCTTATTTAACAAAGTTCTATATTTCATATTCAGTTTCTCTCTTCACCATCACTTGGTCGTTATTATTTACTCAACTTAGAAACGTCTACAAATTTACGACTACTTCCAAACATCATCA